GAAGGTCATAAAACTCGAAATAAACATCCGATTCCATTCAGACTTGGTACATCTCAATATTTCCATAAAAACAAGATCTGTTATGAAGATGGTAGAAATCGGACTATTTCTTCTGGTACCTCCCCCACACAGGATTCAAAACCCACAAAGAAAGCGAAACAAGCATCCAACTCTCTTCATATTTCACGCATTCAAATTTTTTGCTAAAGCAGGATCTGTTGTGAAGATGATATACATCTGCCAACCCCAAGTAGGAGCCCTATTGAAATTGAAGATAATCGGTACAAATTTAGATATAGCTCCCATATATATCTTCGTCCGATTTGCCTTTTATTGTGCACCAAACGTGTAATATCAGCCCGAATAGTATGGAATTTTGCACGTGCAACCAAATTAGGCCTAAAAATAAGCATGCCAAATTTGATCGAATTCGGTTCAGATATAGCTATAGCTCCCATATATATTGTTCATCCGATTTGTTATTTTTGTCCTCCGCAGCCGTTATATGCACTCTGTAACAACAATATTTGGGGAATATATCAAATGCAGCCCTGAAATACATTTGCTAAATGTTATCGAGATCGGTTCAGATTTGGATATAGCTTCCATATATAACTTCGTCCGATTTACCTTTTATTGTGCAACAAACGTCTAATATTTGCCCAAATGGGATGGAATTTGGCACATACGACCGAATTGAGTCTAGAAGCTAGCATGTCAAATTTGGATCGGTTCAGATATAGCTATAGCTCCCATATATGCTGTTCATCCGATTTGTTATATTTGTTACCCACAGCCGTAATATGCACTCCGTAACAACGATATTCAGGGAAAATATATCGAATACAGCTCAGAAATATCTTTGCCTAATTTTATCGACATCGGTCCAGATTTCGATATAGCTCCCATATATACCCGACTTTAGGGCTTTTTTAAATAATTTTCTATAAATTCTTCTTTTTAGCCAAAATATCATCAAAAATGTCATCAATAGATTTTGAAGTAATCTGCTAAAAATAGTTTTCAATAACCTGCGATATTCTGATGTGGGCTTCAAAACAAACAGGTGGAGATATCGAAAAGTAATTTATTTTTTTTACTATCTTCCCTAAATATTTAAGTACCTGCATTTATGTATATTTGCAAACAAGTTTTATTATCTAAACATGTGTTGTTTTTTCTGTTTTTGTTATTGTTGCTGTTATTGCTCTCACCTGTTATAAATAGAATCCATAAAAAATATTTACTTTGAATGTTAATCACTTGGAATAGGAACACATGCAAATGACGATATTAATGGACTTTGACTATCATCAATGGGCGGCTTAATGTCTGTCTGCAAATACCAAACATTCCTTTGAAGTGAAAAACATATATATTGCGAAAATTCCATATCAATTTATTTTTTTGCAAAAACGACTTAGAAAATTCAATGAAATGTAGATCGCCATGCCAACTCAAATGATCCAGTTTTCTTTTCGCCACTAACTGTTGAGTTGGATTTTTAATTGTTTGACTGTGATTTATTTATTCTAAACTTGTATCAGTTCAAGGCACTTTCGCCAAATGATAATTTGTAGATTGTTTGCTAATGCGCAATTAAATCCCCTCTTCCCCTCCTTCTTCCTCTCTCACTCTCTTTTCTCCTCCGGATATGAAAGAAATCATCAATAGTTGGTTCAATTGTTTGCCAGCCAGCGAATCACAAAAGATTTTTGGCGAAATCTTATTTTTTGGTGGATTTTTTGTTGTTGTTGAAATTCTGTTGAAAGAAATTTAATTAAATAAATTATTCCCAGCACGTTATGCTTAAATTTTAGTGAAATTTTATACGATTGAAAATTGTATTTGGATGTTGGCATTCGATTTTGTTGGATTTTGGGAATTTAGAAAGTAATTAACCTAAATGTGAAATTAAGAGAGAGAGATTAAATGTTTTAAAGACTTTCTTTGAAAAGGAGATTTGGAATAAGGTTCCCCAAAAGTAGGATTCGACTTTCGATTAATTGATTTTAATCGACATTGGGTTGGGGGAATAAGTACTTGTATTGGCGGTTTTAACTAGGAGAAACCCTGAAGAAAAGGACCAGGCAAGAGTTAGGCACACATGTATGAGAGTAATATTCTCCACACCTCACACTCAGGGTCATTTGAATCAGAGATTAAGAAAAATGGGAGGACATGAATAACACTCTCCGTCCTGCTCTGCACTAGACAATCTTCTTATATTTTATAACCTCTACCATTTTATGAAGGGTATATTAGCTTCGTCATTCCGTATGTAACTCCTCGAAATATTCATTATAGACCCTACAATGTATATATATTCTGGATCAGCGTAAAATTCTAAGACGATCCAGCGATGTCCGTCTGTCTGTCTGTTGTAATCCCGCTAACCTTTGAACGAATTGAGATAGAAGGCCATGTCCGTCCCCGTTTTCATTTTTTTACACCCTCTCTTTGGACCAAATCCGTTTCAGAACATTTGGAGTCGATCTAGCGATGTCCGCCCGTCCGTCTGGCTGGTGTGCATGTTAACTCTCGAAGAGAGTATCCAATTTGGTCCAAACTTGGCACATCGTAATATTATTGTCAAACTTAGATCGAGTTCGGAGATGGACAATATCGGCCCACTTCTTCTGGTACCTCCCCCACAAAAGGTTGTAATTTTCAAAGAAAATATTTTACTGCACAGAAAGAGGAAGGATTATCCGATTTTGCTCCAACTTTGCATCAGTGCTAGGTCAGGTGCCAAAAACGGGCAATGCCGGTCCACTCCATCAACTACCTCCCCCACAAGGCGTCAACATTTTGAATAATTATATGGCTTATAAAATGTGATATATGAGTACGATTGTCTTAAAATTTCACACATCACAATATTTTTATTACCCCAAGGTCTGGTGTGAAGATGAAATACGTCGATCCACTCCTTCTGGTACCTCCCCCACAAAGAGTCAACATTTTGAATATATATGAAGCTCATAAAACGTGAAATTACAATCAGACTTGACACTCTTTAATATTTCTACCAACACAAGAGATCGGACCATCCCTTCTGGTACCTCTCCCACAAAGGGTAACAATTTTGAATATCTAAAACGAAGCTCATAAAACGTGAAATTACAATCAGACTGACAAATCCTAATATATCTATCAACACAAGATCTGTTAAAAATATGGTAGAGATCGGACCATTCCTTCTGGTACCTCCCCCACAAAGGGTAACAATTTTGAATAACCAAAATGGGCATAAAATCCGGAACAACAATCTGGTTCTCTTCAAATTACACACATCAAAATATTTATATTATCCCAAAGTCTGGTGCAAAGATGGAATATATTGGTCTACTCCTTCTGGTACCTCCCCCACAAAGGGTTAAAATTTTGAATATCCACGAAGCTCATAAAACAAATAAACATCCGATTCCCTTCAGATTTGGTAACTCTCAATATTTTTATCAACACAAGATCTGTTATAAAGATCGGATCATTTCTTCTGGTACCTCCCCCCATAGGGTTCAAGATTATGAAAAACAAAACCCTCGAAGGAAGCGTTTCTCTTCAAATTTCATTTATACAAACATTAGTGCTAACACAAGATCTGTTGTGAAGATGATATACCTTCACCTTTTTCAATGCTATTATCTGTCATAACTTGCGGAACATTTAAGTGATTCTTTACAACTTGCTAAAGTTTAAAATTTGTTCGAAAATTTTAAAATTCTGTCCTAAAAGAGCTAAGATAAAATGTAAAAAGGTACTTTACATATGACTCTCATTTGATATTTAAACGTCATATGAATTCAAATTTTATGGCGCCATCTATGGGTCAGAATTTCCATTCATAAACAATTTTGTTATAGGTCTTCTATTTATACTTACGTTAAATTTGCCCGGATTTATAAATTATGATGGGGCAAAGAGCTTCAATGTAAACGTCGCATGATGCACGTGAAATTTTTGTGGGAGGATAGATGATATTCTATGACATTGCTATTTGAATTATTGAACATATCTTCTTTAGAAAAAATAATTAATATTATCAAATCACATTTAAAATCCTTTTTAGCAAAAATATATATCTATTTATCCATAAGTTTGCTTTTTGCCTTCAATTACTTGCTTGATTTACAGTATCGTGATTTGTAGCCATTAATCCACTGCATTTATAAAACAGTTAGCTATTTTGTTGAACAACTTTTTGTAAACGATTTATTGATTTAAATTAGTTTTTATGAAGCGATTTTTTTGTTTTGTTTTACTGACTGTCAGCCGGCCTGGCTGCATGTCTGCCTGCCTCTGGTAGTTGTTAATTTTTCTTATGAGCCTGCTGAATGTCTGCCTCTTTTGCTGATGGTCCCGATAAGACATCATAAATAAATGAATTGCCTTGCCCGCCTGCCTTGTTGATGTTTTTTATTTACTAACTAACCATAGTTTCCCATTTTTTGTTGTTGTCGAATTTCTTTTATTTACTCTTTCTGTTGATAATTTTGTTTTGTTTTCTATTTTGTTGCCTTTTGATGTAATTTGTTTTATTTCCGTTTGATTTTTTTCTTTATTTATTTACTTTGTTATTGTTTTTATCTCTGATCACTTGGCTCGCTTGACTTGAGTTGTTTATGAGTTTTGTTTTTTTTCTGCTTCATTTCTCTCCCGCTCTCATTGATAGTTGATGATATGCCTTGCCTCTCAATTAATTAGCAATTAACGGAAAAGAAACTTCAATTTTGTTTATATTTTCTTTAAATTTCTTATTATCTTTATTTTGTATCTTTGTTTCTGTTTTGTGTTGTCTACTTGTGTCTCTGTGTTTGTGTGTGTCTTTGATAATATTTTTGTGTTTTATTCTCCAAACAACCAACCAACCAACCTACTGAATGACCATCAACCAACACCACCACCACCAACAAATATTACTACTCCTCCACCATTATTGTTGTTTGTCCACAACTCTATTTTATCAACGACGATCATTTAACGAACGGCATCAACAGTTTTGGAACGAAATCTAATGCAATTACTTGGTACAACTTGAACAACCAACCATCCACCCACTCATCCATCTCTCTTGGTGAGATAAGAGGAACGCAGGGAGCAGCAGCTGAAGAGAAAACAAGAGTTGTTGTTTACATTGTTTTTTGTTTGGCTCTCGCGATAATCAAAAGTGTTTCAAAACGTCACCCCCAACAAAATTGTTTGCTACAGCGCAACAACACACCGCCGTGTACAAAGTTATGGATCGAAGTATGGATTCAATTGGCAGCTGTTCTCTAGATGTCGATGCTGAATCATCTGATATATCAGGTATAACAAGAAGCAAAAAAAAAAATCAAAAATCACCAACCACCTTTAAAAACCAAATCAACCAAAGGTCATGCCAAACAATCAAACATATTATTGTACAGTGTGAATCAAAATTGGACATCGCAAAGCAAATTTTCAGGAAAATTACATCAAAGGGAACCCTACAGGTGGTAAATTAGAAAAAAAAAAACATTTAATTGGATTAATTGCAAAAACAAGAAGAGATCAAAATATTTTATGTATTAAAGTCTTTCAAGGACTTCCCATGTGTAGATGGCCCCTCAAAGGACCTTCTGCGATACCGAATTCAAGGCATAAAAAACCTTCCAAAGGGTCTTCCATGTTCATAACATTACACAAAGACTTCTATGCATAGATGACTATCGGAAGGTATTTTATAGGGGAGAAATTTTATGTTTACATTCCATATCGAAGGACAGTAAAGTAAGTTAAGAAATCGTGTCAGTGTAACAGCTGCTTTTAAAGCCTCAGCCATGTGTCAACAGGGGACCTCAACATAAAGGACCTTTTCGACCAAATCCGTTTCAGGGCATTTGGAATCGATCCGGTGTCAATCAGCCCTTCCGTCTGTCTGTCTGTTTGTCTTACTGGAGCTCACGATAACTCTTGAAGAGAGTATCTGATTTCGTTCAAACTTGGTACAGCGCAATATTATTATCAAACGAAGATTGAGTTTGGAGATGGACAATATCAGTCAACTCCTTCTGGTAACTCTCCCACAAAAGGCTAACATTTTCATAGAAAATAATTTATCTCATGGAACAAGAACGCATCATCCAATTTTGTGCAAGCCTTGCAAATTCTAATATTTTTATCGGTGTGATAGGTCAGATGCGAAAATGGAGGATATCGGCCAACTCCTCCTATTGTCACCCCTATAAAGGGTCGAAATTGTGAATAATCACAATTTTTATAAAATGTGAAATAAGAGTCTGATTTTTTTTTGAAATGTTGTACATTTCAATATTTCTAACATTTCTAGATCTGGTATGAAGATAAGACAGAACGGACCACTCATTCTGGTACCTCCCGCACAACAGGTTAAATTTTTGAATAACTATGACACTCATAAAACGCGAAACAAGCACCCAATTAATTTTATACTCGGTACATCTCAATATTTCTACCAACATAAGATCTAGTGCGAAGATGGAATATATCGACCCTCTCCTTCTGGTACCTCGCCCATAAAGGGGTCAAAATTTTGAATAACCATAACGTCCATAAAATGAGAAAAAACATTTGATTCTTTTAAAACTTCACACATTCCAATATTTCAGCCATCGCAAAATCTGGTGTGAAGATGGAATAGATCGACCCACTTTTTCGGGTACCATTCCCACAAAGGGGTTAAAAATTTTGAATAAGCAAAATGCCCATTAAATGTGAAATAAGCTTCCGATTGCTTTCTAATTTTAGACTTCGCAATATTTCTATGAACATTAGATATGGTGTGAAGATGGAATACACAGGACCACTACTTGTGGTAGCTCCCCTACAATAGGGTTAAAATTTTGAATAACCAAAACCTTCATAGAATGAGAAAACAACATCCGATTCTTTTGAAACGTCACAGATTCCAATATTTTTGCCATCGCATAATATGCGGTGAAGATGGGAAATACGGGACCACTCTTTCTAGTACCTCCCCCTCAACGGGTTAAAAGTGTTTAATAATTGAAACGCTCATAAAATGCGAAATAAACATTCGATTGCTTTTAGATTTCACACATTGCAATATTTCCACTCCTTGTGGTACCTCCCCCACAAGAAGTCAGGATTTTTGATTAATTGTATCTCTCATAAAAGGCTAAATAAGCATCCGATTCTCTTCAAATTTCACACATTGCCATAATTCTATTAACATAAGATCTGGTGTGAAGATGGGAAATATCGGCCCATTCCATCTGGTACCTCGCCCACAAAGGGGCCAAAATTTGGAATAATTGCAATTCTCATAAAATGCGAAACAAACATCAGATTCCCTTCAAATTTCACACATCACAATATTTCTATTAACATTAGATCTGGTGTAAAATGGAATATATCGAGCCACTCCTTCCGATACCTACCCCACAAAGGGTCAAAATTTTTGAATAATCGTAACTCCCATAAAATGCGAAATAAGTATCCAATTCCCTTCCGATTTCACACATCGCAATATTTCAACCTACGCAAATTCTGGCGTGAAGATGGGAAATATCGGCCCATTCCTTCTGGTACCTCGCCCACAAAGGGGCCAGCATTTAGAATAATTGTTATTCTTATAAAATGCGAAATAAGCATTCGATTCCCTTCAAATTTTACACATTGCAATATTTCTATTAACATAATATCTGGCTCGAAGATGGAATATATCGACTCGGTTCGTCGGGTACCTCTCTCACCAAGGAGTCAAAATTTTGAATAACCAAAACGCTCATAAAATGCGAAATAAGCATACGATTCGTTTCAAACTTTACACATTCCAATATCTCAGCCAGCGCAAAATCTGGTGTGAAGATGGAAAATATCGTCCCACTCCTCGATCTGCACACTAGGGTTAAAAATTATTTTGGCCCTTCAGTGGGTCAAATGATTTTTTGGTTTATGCAATTTGACTCTTTCACACAGAAGATTAATAAAGGCCCATGAAACGAATTTTCCACAGAAGAGCTATAAGCGGTTATCTTATGTATATGAGATATATGGGCCTCTTTACCACAATTCAGTGTTATTTTCTCTTGGAAAAAAATAGAATTTTTGGAAAGAGGGTTTTTTGTAGTTTTCCTTTTTCAGATGGTTGATCCTTAGACTCCAGAGAAAATTAGTCTGTTCGAGAAAATTAGTATTTTCGAGAAAATACATCTCAGAAGATTAACATGTATTCTCATAGAATATTAGTTAAATAAATAATCCATAGAAGATTAAAGGGTCATCATCGTATTGAAGAAAAAGTAACCTTTTTATCAAAGATCAATAGATACTCTTCTCATAAAAGACGAATAGCAGTTGTCACCTTTGAATGTTTATTAAGGTTCTCCTTGTGAAGGAGGGCAATCATTTAGTCTTCGAAGTTTAGCATGTATTCTTGTCATAGAAGACCAGTGAAACAGATAATCCATGGGAAATCAAAGGATGATGTACTTATGTGAGATAAATTGAAATCGATTTTCCTCGAAATACCAAAGGTATAGGTTTCTTATATACATAATACTACTTAACGCTTATACCCATACCTTAAAAAAGATCCAAAAGTTTCAATTTCAAATGTAGTATATCTCTTTAAAATCCAACACTGCTTGAACAACTTGTTTTCCAAACTTGTAGTGCCTACTTTTAGGCATTGGCATGCAATAGACCCATTGCGTGCTGCCAATACAAGAAAAAGTTTATAATATAATTATTTTTAATATAATATAATTCTGATTTACCACTTGGTTCCCTGATGATGTAAAGCAACGGATTATTATTAAATTTTTCTTTCGTTTGTATTATAATGTACAGAGACAACTCAAGTTCCACGTTAATATACCTATTACAACACCCAACCAACTACTTACTACTACCACACCTTGACAACCAACTAACACATGGCAAATGGATTTTGTTTTGTTTGTTTAGCTTTTCTTTTTTTTACCGGTATTTAAATGTCAACTGTGTGGCGGATATTACTCAAAACCCTTTGGTGCTTGGGAATTTACTCCAGTACCAGGCAGCACACCTTCTTTACACAAAAAAAAAATACATAATATGACACAAGTTTTAATAGGGTTTCCCCAAGTCATCATATGCACCTTCCTTGACTACCTTACTCCAACTACCACCTTGGGCAAAATCCTATCGGGGCTAATTTATGTTTTTTGTTTTCTTTGTAATGTTTCGTTTTGTTTTTGTTTCTTGTTATCCACATCCCACTAACCACCCACCCAACAATCTGAAAATCAAAGAAAAAATATTATTGGTATTTTCTTGTTGTTCTTTTTTGTACTTGTTTTATGTTTATTATTTGTTTACAAAAGAAAAGAGTTGAATACCCAAACCCCCTACTCTGTGTATATTTTGTGTAGGCAACAACAACAACATGTATAGAAATCCACACATCTTGTCCACTTCGAGTACCACCACCCAACCATTCAAGTTTGTGACCGATTAATGTGGTGGGCTTACTAATATACATATTACGGTAGTATGGCTCCTTCCTACTTACCTACTTCCCCCAGGGAGCAGGAGCTTAACAAAGAGTATGAAAATTTAAAGTACACCTTACAATCTATTTTAAAACACACACACGTATATACAAACACATTGTTTCACATCTAGTTACCCCATGGGTAGTGCATAGAGGGCACCCTGAATAGTCTAATGGACTTTAATGGACAATAATGTATAAATAGCCAAATTGAGCGGACAACCAACCAAACAAAAGGTTTGGTTTACATTTTTTGAAGGATATCTGTTTTTTTAGTTCATTGAAACTGACCTAGTAAATATTGTTGTCCTTTAAAGTGCACCAACACACACACGTATTTATAGGAGTGAACCTACACACACACCTACCACAAGTATATATCCCCCTTACAAAGCACGGTTATTTTAAGTTCTTTGTATCCATTTTTTTCAATTTTGTCTTTTATTTTAAAGGTGATAGTTGTACGCTTCAGTGGTGGATTTCAAAAAAGAAAAGTGTCTTTGGTAATAATAAACAGATATCATTTTTATATTCCTTACCAAAATTTTAAAATTTTGAGTGAAAAAAATCTATTTAAACAACGAATATTGAGATTGGAATTCTTTTTATCGAAAATAGTCAAATGTTAAGTAGAAAAAAGCATTTAACAATATTTAACGAAACAACAAATATTTGAAAGCATACTTTCAGGCGCTGTGAAGAAAAGGACCAATATTAGTTTGATTTACACTTACAAAAGTCCTGAAGGCATCCAAGAAGTACTTTTATGAAAGGACAGGAGGTTTAATTTATATACTTCTACGGGATTGAAAAAAAAACAAGAAAGAAGATCAGAATATCTTATAGGATATATGAAGATCTCACCGAAAATTATTGAGACATAGGACATCATTTCATAGAAGACCATGAGGTATTGTCATTGAAGACTAAAATATATATCTTTGAGACTGCCAGAATCAGTTCTCTTAAAGGGAGAAGGTCACCGAGAGCCAGGAGGTCTTCTAATAGAAGGTTAAAAGGTATTTCCATGAAGGCCAGATGTCCTTCTCTTAAAGGCTAGAATGCCCTATCTTAGAAGGGCACAAAGTCTTCCTTAATCGGTCCAGAAATATTCTCCGAGAAGGGCAGATAGTCTTCTTATGGAAGGCCAACAGATCTCTGAGAAGTCCAGAAGCTCTTATCACAGAAGACCGAAATGTGTTCTCCAAAAGGACCAGAAAGTCTTCTCATAGCTGGCCAGAAGGTGTTTTCATAGAAGGCCAGAAGGTCTTCTCTAAGAAGGCTAGAGGGTCTCCTATAAGAAGATTAAAAGGTGTTCTCATAGAAGGCCAGAAGGTCTCCTCTAAGAAGGCCAGAAGGTCTTCTCATAGAAGATCAGAAAGTCTTCTCATACAAGTCCAGAAGGTCTTCTCATAGAAGACCAGAAGGTCTTCTCTTAGAAGTCCAGAAAGTCTTCTCATAGAAGGCCAGTATGTCTGTCAGAAGGTCTTCTCATGGAAGACCAAAAGGTCTTCTCATAGAAGACCAAAAGGTCTTCTCATGGAAGGCCAGATGGTCTTCTCATGGTAGGCCAGAAGGTCTTCTCATGGAAGGCTAGAAGGTCTTCTCATGGTAGGCCAGAAGGTCTTCTTATAGAAGGCCAGAAGGTCTTCTCATAGATTCCAGTTAGTCTTCTCATGGAAGGCCAAAAGGTCTTCTCATAGGAGACCAAAAAGTCTTCTCATAGAAGGTCAAACGGTCTTTTCATAGAAGGCTAAAAGTCTTCTCATTGAAGGCCAGAAGGTCTTCTCTTAGAAGGCTAGGAGGTTTTCTCGTAGAAGGTCAGAAGGTTTTCTCATAGAAGGCCAAAAGGTCTCTTCTTGAAGTCCAGATGGTCTTGAAGTCCAGATGGTATTTTCCTAGAAGTGCAGAAAGTCTTCTCCTAGAAGGCTATAAGGTCTTCTTATAGAAGAGATGACCAGAAGGTCCTCTCATAGCCAAGTGATTTTATCTGAAAGACTAGGAGACATTTTCGTAAAAGAAGATATTACCTTGAAATGCTGTACTTTTTTCCAATAGATCGGAATGACTTTTAAAAGAATTAGAAATTAGGGACCAATTGGGTATCTCATAGAAGACCAGGAGCCTCCTTTTGTAAGGCGACATGGTCAACTATAGGTTGAGAGACACACATTTTCAACTAACTTCCTCTTTTTCTGGGTACCAATGCACTTTTCTCAAAATACCAACAATTCTATGGTTATGGTTCGGTTCTTTCTCCTCTTAAGTTCAATGGAAGATAAAATATTTCTTTTCTCCACTTATCCAATTTTTTCAAAATTCTAATAATTCGTTTCTTACCTCCCTGCAGATACAAGTGGCAGTTTAAATTTTCCCACACCCATTTCCATCAAGGACATAACACGAGAATTTACCGCCAACATACGCGAACGTTGTTCGGTACAGACAGTTAAGAACAATACCACAGCCTATGTGGATCCCATTACGGGTCAAGTGTGCATTGCCCTGACAAACAATACGACGACTACCACAACAAAACAACCCACAGCGACAGTGAATAACAACATAAACACCGTGCTGGAAACGCACAACAGTAAAACCACAGTGACGACCACGAATAACCATCATCAGCAGCATCACCATCAGCAACAGCACATATCATCGCCACAAACCCCCATTGCCGCCGCAGTCGATACATACGAAAAGAAACCGAGCTATTTAAATTTGGCCTGTTGTGTTAATGGATATTCGAATATAACCACATACGATTCGAAGATAAGACAAGACATAAATAAATCGCGCGAAGTTTCGCCCATCCGACCCTCGACGACTAGTTTACAGTATTGCAAGAAGAGTAACTCGCTGGCACCGCCCGTTCTCTTGGCAATGCCTAATGTTAATGTAACATCACCCCATCACCACCACCATCATCATCATCTGCCGCACATGGCCACAAATGGTGGTGGTGGCGGCGGAGCCATTATGACCACCATTGGCACCAAATACACAATCATTGAGAACAACAACCACTCACAGAATGGTGGCCCTGATAGCAGTCTACACAACCTAAGTGTTGGAGATGATATTGGTGGTGGTGGTGTCGGTGTCAATGGCGGTAATACGGTTACCCGCAGTTTCATACAACAGCGTGTGGAAAGACTCTATGGGCCAGGTGCTCTAGCTCAGGGCTTTTATAGTCCCAAAAAGATTCGAGAATCGCCTCAACGTCTGAACCGATCATTGAACAGTGAAAATGGTGGTGGCGGTGCCACCTCCGAATTGGTACGTAAATTTCAGGAGTTATCACCCAGTAAAGATTACAACAAATTTCGTGAGAAACTATCATCGAATGGTAAGCCTTCCCTACCACCCGCCAATGCGTCATCATCTGCTGCAGAGAATTTAAATTCCGAAAACAACAACATTGATTTACCATGTCTGAGACATTTATCGCAGGAATTTAGGGCCCAGCTGCCCATAGTGTCGCCTAAAAGGAATTTCTCTAGGACTTCCCCCGGTAGGGATCTAACAACGACAACTGCCTCTGCCAATAATAAAAACGTCAGCCAGAACAGCAATAATTCATCCTCCTCCACCATCATAACTACAACCACCACCATGACAGTAAATAAAACACAAAACTACAGCACAAGCAATGGCATTACAACCAGTAATTCGGATATCACCAACAACACCAATACCACGACAAACAATCATCAATCACATCCCGATCTTGTTTATAAGTCACAAAATTTAAATTCATCCTCCTCCTCATCCACCGCTGCAGGTCCAATGGGTAGCGATGAAGTTGATCGTAAAGTGCAATTAGATGCAAATCCAATCGAATTGTTAAAAACTCCACCAAAATCTACACCATCACCCTTGTCATCGTCTCTGGCAAAGTCTTCGGAGGAGTTGTTGGTGATAACTCCCAATGCCCATATTTCGAATAATGAGACTGCTGCTGCTGCTGCTGATAAACCCACAACAAGTAATGGCTCCGCTGCCAGAGATGGCCATTTCTTCCTTAGACAATTGAAAGCTGAACAGAATCGTTTATTGGAGCTGGCAGCTGTGGCTGAGAAGTACATGGATGCCCTGGCGGTAAGTAAAATATATAACTATTCCAATTATAATGTCTTGAGATTCCAGGATTCTTTGGAACTGTGTTGATCGTATGTGTAATGAGGATTGGCCGGTACTGTCTGTTTCCTATTTGTGGCTTTATAAATAGGCTGGTTTGTGGGCATTGCACCCTCTTGACAAAATTCAATTTTTTCCATAATTACAGGAAAAAGTCTGTAGATTATGTAGAGAAGCTGAAAATAGAAGCCACGGTTTTTGACTTTTTTAAAGTTTGCTTCCCAAGAGAACTAAATAGAGGGGGCAGATTTCTCATTCCATACATTAAAATACTTGGTTATTTATTCCATTTCAATATACGAATAAGATTTTCCGTTAATAAACAAAATCTCTTTACATTCTATCAATTCTCTCTGTTTCATACATGGTAACACCATACAATTGCTTCATATGAATTTCATATCTGGCAACACCACTTGCATTTGTGTCAAGAACAAACAAACAAGAGACGTTGCGAATGAAAGAATTCATGCGACATTGGAAAATAAATAAAGTTTTAATAGATTTTTAGGCAATAAAATGACTCGCAACGATGTGAAAATACATGCCAAATGTTTGTGCGTAGAAAATAAGTGTGAAAATTTGAGAAACAACAGGAATTTAGTAGAAAATGTGATTTGATGAAGACAAAAGCCTCGTTTTGTGTGACACTGTTTATGTTTCAGAAAACTAAAAACTGTTTAAAATTTGTGTAACTTAATTGAAATGTCCGGATAAATATCCAAATATCCATGGAAATCGGTTATTAATATTTATTATTTTACCCTCGGCCATTTGGCTGGAGAGGGTATATATCATTTGATACGGCCAAAACACCATTTCTTCTGGTACCTCCCCCACATAGGGTTCACGGTTTTGAAAAAGCAAAATGCTCAAAAAAAGCGAAATAAGCATCCAACTCTTCAAATTTCACACATGCAAACATTTTTGCTAACACAAGATCTGCTGTGAAGACAATATATATCTATACCCTTCTGGTACCTCACCCACAAATGGTGACAATTTTAAATAATTATCGACTATATCTGGTACTTCACGCACATTTTAACATTTTTTAAATGTTATCACATATTTTATATAAAGTGAAGGAAGTAACCAATTCAGTCTTTATACCATGTTTATTTAGGTTCGACAATATTGGCCCAATGGATAATATTGGTCGGAACCTACTCCATAGAGGGTCAACAATTTGAATAATCATAAAAGAAGTCAAAATATATTCAAATGATCGAACAATGGCTGAGAATAAAGATCTGTCGCCTAAACCGACTGATACATTTTAACTTGTTTATAAACTTATTTTCTAATTTATTAATTTATTTATTTCTCTTTTTGATTTCTTCTTTCCCAGAGTAATCCCGACATTACCGAAGATACAATGGGACTATTGCGTTCTGCTTCTGGTAAAGCACGCCTATTAGTATCCCAAAAAATGAAACAATTTGAAGGTAAGTTCAGAGATTATTTTACCACAAATATACGACCCTTACTCAATCTATTTTCTCTTTTACAGGTTTGTGTCACAACAATTTGAATAGCTCTCCAGAAGATCAATTCCCAACAACGGTCGATGATTTGCAAGGCTTCTGGGACATGGTGTATTTACAAGTGGATCATATCGATTTGATTTTTAAAGAAATTGAAATCTTAAAAGCCAATGACTGGAAGGTGAGATTATTAAAAAAACGACTTTTTTACTACTTTTGTAATTTTTCCAGTGATAAAAAGTGAGATAACTTCTTTGAGTTTTCAAAATGAAAGGAAGGCCGTACGAAAAATTTTCAAAAATAAAGGAAGGCCTGCAGAAGGTTTTGCATCCTTCATTCTATTAATGAAAGCCTAAAGCATAAGGGATAAATTTCATTATAAACATAAGCTCTTCAGTAGGTCTTTCATATACAGAAAACCTTTGCTAGATCTTCCATAAAACAATATCTTCTAAAGTGTCTTTACAGATATTAGATAAGTCTTCTATAAACAGAAGATCTGAATATTTTTCCTAAACTGAGAACTTTGATAGGACTTCTTGAGATGAAAGGCATTTTATAAATAGAACAACTTTCGTAGAGTTTCTACAAAATATACCTGGAGTAGTGAGGCTTCCAGAAATAGAAGAAGACTTGCCGGTCTTCTAATGAAAGAAAAAATCCATAGAATGTTTAAAAGGGACACATTTAAAAAGATCTTCTGTAGATAAAAATGTTTAAAACTTTGCAGATAGAACGCCTTCCATAAGTACTTTAAGAACACTTCTTTTATAAAATCTATAGAACTTATATTATTCAAAGACGACAAAAGATATTTAAGAAAGACCTTAAAGACTATTCTTTTTATAGAAGAAATCTAGAAACATTCTATAAGTAAAAGGCCAAGAATATGCCTTCCATCCATATGACACCTTGTTGTACAGGAGGTCTTTAATCCATTATTATTTCCCCTTTATTTTTCACAACAAACCAGAAAGTGGTCTTATGGAGGACCAAAAAGTCTTTAAAACAACGTAGAACCCTTTCATAGAAAAAAATTTCCCATAGAACTCTATAAAACCTTGTAATGGGAGGCTTCTTGCCTTTCCATAGAGCCTTGCAAAGTCTTCTCATAACAGACCAGAAGGTATTCCCATAAAAAATCTAAAGATATATATTTTAATCTTTATTCCTTGATTAGAAATTGATCTCAGAATATATTTTAATCTTCTGATATATAGAAGATATCCTAATGAAACATCGAATGGTCTTCTCATATATAATCCGCAGGTCTTCTAACCAAACAGTAAAAAAGTGTAGATTCGGCCGGGCCGAACGTTTTATTATACCCTCCAACATTCGGAAGGAGCTTGACAATTTTCAGAAAAAAACCTCGAAAAATACCGCTCAAATGAACCTTTATATGGGGGCATATACTAGGCTGGAATAACGATTCCGAACTTCAAATACCAAATTTGAAACAATTCCGGTGATAAATGTCGCTAAAATCGTCAAAATACCGAATATGGGAAGATGCCGTTATGCGGGGGCTATACGAAGACGTGAATCTGCACACACAATTTTCTGTAATAGGCTGTAGTATCCATTACGAACTTCAAATACCAAATTTGAAACATTTACGGTGAATAATGTCGCTTAAATCACCAAAATACCGAAAATGGCGAAGGTACCGTTGTATGGGGGCTATACCAAAACGTTGGACCTATATGGCCCATTTTCAATACCAAAAGTCCTGCAAACATAATTTATATTTAAGTAAATTTTATCAACCTACTTCATTTCGTTCGGAAGCTAGAGTGATTTCCAGAGGCGGACAGACGGACGGACATCGCTAAATCGACATAGAATGTTGTGCTGATCAAGAATATCGAGTTCGAGGTGTTACAAACGGAATGACAAACCTAATGTACCCTCCATACTATGGTGGAGGGTATAAAAATCCAAATCTTTTTGGAGTAGTTTCAAATGACAGCGGATTTCTTATTCTAATTAAAGTTTTTATTAATATTTTTTATTTCTTTTCCAATCTAGAAACCAGCAAATCTCCCCCCAACAACCAGCAGCAGCAATAATGTCTTAAAGACACCAAAACCCAATAAGACTCTCAAATCGCGTACAAATACGCCCATGGCTAACGGTTCAAATAGTGTGTCGTCGACACCATCAGCAGCCGCTCTAAAACGTGAGGCTCAACGCAAGAAGCTACAAGAAATGAAGCGACGTAATCGTGAAGCTATGGCTGCTGCAGCGACTGCTTCACCCGCCCCAAGTGGTGATGCCACCGTGGAGGTTGGTATCGTCGATGGCATTGAAATTCTCGAAGCAAATAGCAATAATAAACAACAGCCAGAACTACAACAGGACAGCTAATTTTGCTTGCTAAATAATGTAAGAGTGGGCTTTATTCGCGTAGAAGAGACATAAAGCCGAGTACTATGATTATATTGATTAGTTAAATACTCTCTAAATCTAAATCAAGAAAAAAATACGAAATCTTAAAGAGTTTACTAACTTTTCAAAGTCTAAAAAGCAACAACAACAATTATACTCTATCTTGCTAATTATATCTACCACTATTAATAACACAACAACCAACCAACAACCTACTACTACTACTACAACTAGTCTAGGAAGGAAATAAGAAAATTATACAACAAAAAAACAAACAACTAAATTATTGAAAAAAGAAAAAAGAAATTGTTTAATAAAATAAAAATTATGTTTATTGTGAGTAAATTTTAAGTATAGATGGCTAAAAACGAAGAAGAAGATGATAAATAATCCCCCACAAAAAAGAAAAAAAAAACGAATAAAAAATTATGCGAAACAAATTATTGCAGCAGGTTCAAAACAGAGTCGTGCTTAGAAAGCAATCCCTTTTCTCCAATTTCGAAAAACGAAACCTATTTATACCCCCTACCCCCTAAGTGTCTAAACTATCTTTAGTAATCATAATCACATACCTATATCTATATATTCCATCATAAAATTGGCAATACTTTCAAATGTAATTGGAAGAATTGAGGGGACCTTGAATCCTTGACTTCTTTCCCCATTACATTTGAAATTAATCCAAATCTTTAATCAAATCCTTATTAGAAGCAAATTAAATAACATGTTACGAATACTTCGAAAATCAAAAACAATTGTTACAATTGTAATACACAGTCACACTCACACACATATATACATATATTAGAAAAATAAAATTTAAAATGTTGTATGACAAATTAGAAAAAAAAAAAACAAAATACGAACGATACTAAAAAAAAAACAAAAAACATACCGCAATCGAACTTATATTGAAATGCCTTTCCTTTAGAAAACCGAATATAGAAAAACAATTTATTTAGAAATGTATGTAATTTATATGTAATCGCAACACTGTGCAACAAATGAAAAATTAAAACAACTTTTAAAGAGATCAATCAATAACTGGAAATTGAAATTAGAAGACTGTAAGGATTATGAAGTCTCCAAGTAATTTGGACATTTTAGGATATATTATAAAGGCAAAATTTTTGATATTTCTCTGTTTTATAGAAAAAAATCGAAATTTTTTACATTAAAAAAAGTAATTTTTTTTATGGGTGATTTTTTTTTTTTGAAATTATTAACAAATTAAAAATCAAGCAACTTTTAAAGAGACCAATATCTGGAAATTGAAATTAGTAGACTGTAAGGGTTATGAACTCTCCAAGTAATTTGGAAATTTTAGGATATATTTTAAATTGTCTGAAAAAAATTAAAATATTCTCTATGGGAAAATTTTTATAAAAATGATTAAAAAATGAAAAATCAAACAACTTTTAAAGAGACCAGTAACTGGAAATTGAAATTAGAATACCATAAGGGTGTGCAGTCTCCAGGCAATTTAGAAATTTTAGGATATATTGTAAAGGCAAAATATATTGATTTTTTCCTGGTAATGTAAAATTCGAATCTTCTTTTTTTGGAAGAAAAAAATTTTCTAAATAATAGAAAATAGCTTCTATAAAATTTTCCATAAAGAAAACTTTATTATTTATTTATTTTTTTTTTGTTTCAGAACAACTCGAATTTTTTAAAATAAAAAAAATCTGTGGGAATATTTTATAAAAATTGTTAACAAATGAAAAATCTTTTTTTTTTAGAAAAATTCCAAATTTTCTATAACAAAAAAAAATAAATAAATAAATAAATTAAGTTTTCTATATGAAAAAAATTTTATTAAAATTATTGTTTATCAGAGACTATATGAGTTATTATTTTTTTTTTTTTTTTTGTTTTGATTATATTTTTTTGGGAATATTGAGAATTCTTTAATAGGAGATCAATAAATGGAAATTAGAAAAAAATAGAAGACTGTAATTTGGAAATTGTTTTTCCACGCTACTCTAAAATTCAAAAAAAAAAAAAAAAAAAAATCGGAAGAAAAAAAAATATTCTAATTTTTCTGAAATTAAAAAATTAAAATTTTTTTCTATGAGAAAATTTTATACATATTAATGTTTATTAGAAGCTATATCAGGTATTTAAACAAAATATTTTTTATTTTTCCCTGTCAATCTTTGTTTTTTTTTTTTGAAGAAAAAAATTTAAGAATTTTTTAAAAAATTCAAATTTTTTCTGAAATAAAAAAGTTGGATAAAATTAAAATTAAACTATACCAGTTATTAAAAAATATTTTTTATTTTCCCTGTTAACCTTTTTTTTTAATAAAAAATTAAGAAGTTTAAAAAAATTCGAATTTTTCTAAAAAAAATCTTTTTTTTTGGGAAATTTTTATAATCAGTTATTACATTTTGGTTTGCCTTTTTATTTGAAAATAGATTTCCATAGATTTTTTTCAAAATATTTGTCTTTTTTTAAAAATCAAAATTAGTCTCTTAATATTAAGTGATTGCTTGAGTTGAATTTTTCAATTCTTCAATTGTTTTTTAGCTTCCCCAATGTTCAAAATTTCAGAGTGACCTTCATCAATTTCCTTTTTCTTGAAGATTTTCCGCGTCCGAAGGTTTATATTCATTTCAGTTTCCAGTCGAAAAAAATTGCAAATTTTGGTTGCACAGTGAAGTTCTACATTTTTTCAATACTACACTCTTAGTACAAGTATTACAAAAGTATTTCTTAGTTTATTTCCAGTACCTCTCTCTCCCCCTCTTTGACTTTCCACTAAACACAAAATTTTCTACTATTTTTAAATGTCAACTATTTTCCTTGTTTTTTCCAAAACTAGCTCGATTCAGTTTTGTACTTGTGTGATGTTGTTTTTTTTTTCTAACAAAAAATCCCATGAAAAAAAAAATCCGAACAAAATTTACACAAAACCACAAAAATTTGTAAGATTATTTGTTTATATATTTTGGAATTATTTTTTTTTATATACATAACCTAATTTTTTTGTAATTTATGTGTTTGTCTATTTTTTTGTCAACTACAATTTAGTTTCTTTTTTCGCGAAACAAAAGACATTTTTTTTGCTTAACATTGTTTACACATACATACATACATCGTAATATACATATATTTAGAGAAAATGTTATTTTGTTTGATATACTACCACCTACCATAAAAATAATAATAATAATAATTTTTTATACCATTAATAATTTAATAATATTAATATATATATAAAAAAAAAATATAACAAAAAACCCTAAACTATAATTTAAAAAAGAGTTGTAATCCTATTTTTTTTTCTAACTTTTTTTCGATTTCAAAAAACATTTTCTATTTTTTTGATTTCACTCATCTATGATCTTAAACACAAATCACCCTCCCGTCCCTAATAATCGAATTTTCTTATTAACAAAAATTTCGTTTCTTTTGTTGTTTTCTCAATTTTGGAAATCTTACCTCCCTAGAAGCTTTACCATTAGTGTCTTCTTTTGCAATTAACCTTGGTGAAATGGCCTTAATTTCGTATCGCTCTATCCTAGCATCTTCCTCTACCCCAAAGTAATATATTGTTCTAATTATACAAAAAACAAAACCTTGTTGCATTTATAGAATCTGATTCAATAATTGATTATTTTTTTTTTCGATTAAAATTTTGAATATCATCAATCAGTTTTTTCTGTCTCTCAAATTAAATTATATTTGATTTGCAAACAAACAAACAACAACAAAAGAATACTAAATACAATATAGCTTTAAGTTAAACAACAAAAAAATGAAACCAATTACAAAAACAAACAACAAAATCCACAAAAAAAACTAATATTTAATAAAGTTATTTTTTATTCATTATCAACAACAAATTTCCAAAGTGTTTTTAATTATGGCTATAAAAAGGAGTCCAAAGAGTTGATAAGAATAGCTTTGAAGATATATAAGATCTAACTGACAGGTCTTCATCCATAGAAGAGCTTTCTTGGTCTACTACATAAGTTTTTTATTTATTTATTTATTATTTTTTATACCCTCCACCATAGTATAGAGGGTATATTAAGTTTGTCATTACCTTTCTTGTAACACCTCGAAATATACATTTTAGTATATATATTCTTGATCAGCATAAAATTCTATGGCGATTTCCGTCCGTCTATGGAAAATATTCTAGCTTCCGAACGAATTGAAGTAGATTCACCGATTTTAACGCAACGTATCATTAAGAATCTTTAATGTTTTTTTTAATAATATGTTAAATTCGAACTTCGCTATTAAGTGCTTAGATGCCATATAAGACATTGATGAGACTTTCTAAATTTCATTTCAAGGGTTTATTTTTTTAAATTCATATTTCCTAATTTAAAAATATGTTAAATTCTATAAACCAAAGAATTGTGGAACATATTTATCAAATATATGCCACATGTTCACTAAAACATGTCCCCTCTTTATATTCATTAAAATTTGTTGTTGCTCATTCCCTTTCAATTTCGCAACAAGAATTGCCGTTAATAAACAACATCCGCTTTGTTCCATTCCATTCGTTTCGTTCAATTATTTCAGGCATGGTAACACCATCCAACTGCGTAATCACAATTTCTTATCTGACATTTCGTTTACTTCAATTATTTCATACATGATAACACTATTTAACTACCTTATCAGAATTTCATATCTGGCAACACCACTTGCCAAAGGCAGCGAAGAAGATATTCAAATGAGAAACACCGCCGGCAACAAATAAAAGTATTTTTTCGTTATTCTCTTAAAACCAGCATTTTGAGGAAAATTTTAAGGCGGTGACATATAAGAAGCTCGGCGTCTTGGTATAGTATAATTTCAAATTAAAATGGAAAACGACGATAGGATGCAAGTACAGCTCTGCTTGTGCTTCGTCAAATTTAGTCATTTGTACTAATTTTAGCATTTTTCTTCGTAATTTTTTGCATTTCAATATTCTAATAGGATTTTCTGTAAATAAAAAAACGGCTTTACTATATTCTATCGTATCGTCGCCTTTACCCAATTCAATTCATTTGTTCATCCGTTAAGAAAACTTCGCAATTTATTTCACTTCAATACTGCAAAAATCTGTTACATACGAAATGGACAATATTGGACCATTCGTTTGAATAATCATAATAGAAGTCGATTGTCTGAGGCATACAACTGTCGAACATTGTCTGTTTTCATTTTTTCAACGAAACTGACAATATTAACAAAAAAGCACAAACAAAAGATAGCTGCAGTTAGACTATTTTACACATGGAAATACTATCCAACTGCCTAATAGGAATAAGAATTCGTATCTGGCAACACCCTTTGTGTTTGTGACACCAAAGACAATGACAAAAGAAAACAAACAAGTGACGCTATCTCCACAAGAAGGTGAATTCTTGAATAGTTGGAAGTTAAATACAGTTTAAGTGGTTTTTAGGCAATTAAACGTCCGGGAAATTATTCGAAAATAAGTGTCTAATGTTTGCGAATGGAAAATAAGTGTGAAAAAATAGAAAAATAAAAGAATTCAGTGCAAAAAAGCCTAAAATATGTTGTGATCATGGCTAGTGTCTCTGTTTGGTGATGTGTTGCTTTTTTCTATTTAAAAGAATAAAAATGTATGAATTGTATGTAAATTCATTGAAATGACTAGATAAATGTATACCAAAGAAGACTAAATAGCGCTAATGCAAGTTTTGTTTCTAATATTCTCTTCGACGAAATTGACAATATAAACAAAAACAAAAAATGGCAAAAAAGCAAAAGATAGCTGCAGTTAGACTATTTCTTACATGGAAACACCATCCAACTGCTTAATAGGAATGAGAATTCATATGTGGTAACACTCTTTTGTGTCTGTGACACCAAAGACAATGACAAAAGAAAACAAAACAAGTGACGCTGCCGGCACCAGAATGTGATTTTTTGCATCGTCGGAAGTTAAATAAAGTTTTAACTGGTTTTTAGGCAATAAAATGTCTCGGAAATTATTGGAAAATGTATCAAATGTTTGTGTGTGGAAAATAAGTGTGAAAAAATAGGAAAATAAAAGAATTCAAAGCAAAAAAGCCAAAAATATGTTGTGATCATGGCAAGTGCCTCGGTTTGGTGATGTGATGTTTTTTTCTATTGAAAGAATAAAAATGTCAGAATTCTACGTGAATTCATTGAAATGATTAAAGAAATGTCTAGCAAAGAAGACTGATTAGCGCTAAGACAAATTTTGTTTTTAATATTTTCTTCAACAAAATTGACAATATTAACAAAAACACAAAAAACATACGAAAGCTGCAGTTAGACTATTTCTCACATGGAAACACCATCCAACTGCCTAATAGGAATAAGAATTCATATCTGGCAACACCCTTTTGTGTTTGTGACACCAAAGACAATGACAAAAGTAAACAGAAAAGTGACGCTGCCGGTAACAAAAGGTAAATTTTCGCATCGTTGGAAGTTAAATAAAGTTTTAATTGGTTTTTAGAAAATAATTGTGTCGGAAATGATTGGAAAATGTGTGCCAAATATTTGTGAGTGAAAAATAAGTGTAAAAAATAGAAAAATAAAAGAAATCTGTGCAAAAAAGCCTTAAATATGTTGTGATCATGGCAAGTGCCTCGGTTTGGTGATGTGATGTTTTTTTATGTTTAAGACAACTAAAAAGTGTGAGAAATGTTCGCGATTTCATGGAAAAGACTGAACAAACATCTGAAAAAAGGAGATACCTTAGATTTAAGGTGAGTGGCTGAAATATTTTCCTCAAATAGCTTAACAAAATATCCACAAATACATGTCGTTGTGAAAATGGGATCATGTCTAACTAGAAAACAGGGTTGCCAGTTCTGGAATTTTGTAGGCTGTTAGTAGATAAATTCTTATACCCTCCAACAATGCAAATTACGCAGAAACATACACAGATTAATTTTCTGATATTTTTTGTACATTTCACATGGAAAAGCTAATTTTTGCAGTCGGTCTCCCGGAAATGTTTCAAAACGACACTCATTGATGCTTTTTGATATAATAATTTAAACCCCAATAAGGTATATGTATTCTAAATGATAATAACATTCTAAAGCCAGTAGCAGAATCGGTATGTTGATAAATCTGTCCGTTTTTGGTAAATTTTGCGATTTAATGAATGTTTAATGGCAACTTATATGTTATGTTATAGATCCTATATAAGGGCTCCAACCGATTTTAAGTATTATCATAGTTTTGTTCACATTTTAAGAAGGTCAATAAGTATCTATAGAGGTGCAAAGTTTGGTCTACATTGAAAACTCCACTCAGTATATATGTAATATACGAAAGTGTGGATTTTGTGAAAATTGCCATACACAAGATATTATATAAGCGAACATATTGAGATGTGCAAGGAGAAAATTGTGAAATTATTACATATTTTGTGGCAGTTACCACAATTCAAATTCTGTGCATTTCCAGTGAATATTGGTATAGTTGAGGCGTGTAACGATGTTGTCCATCTTCGCACATGACTCAAACAAACCTTTCGACGCAATAAGTTTGGATTATATCAAATACTTACTTCTGCGTAGATTTTTTTTATGAAAATTGTGGAAATATTGCTCTGTTCAAAATTTGTGTAGTAAATTCGGGTGTTATTTTTCGGATTCTTTTTTTCAATTCGATCCTTTGTAGTGGTGGTAACACATATGGAAGCTACACATTGATAAGTTGGCGAGAAACATTTTCAGAAACATTAAAAAGTTTGAATATTTCATTTCGAAAAAAAAAAAATTTTAATTTTTCCCAAACATTTATTAGCATATCTAGAAGTGTACTTTCACAAACAAGATAAACGGGAACATTTCATTTCGAAAATTTTGAAAAAAATTACCTTTAGGAGGGATATGTCCACGTGAAAGGTGTTATTGGAAAGGAGGACTTTCAAAAACATTAATAGCTAAAATATTTCATTTCGAAAATTCGAAAAAGAAAAACTGTCATTTTTCCCCAAACTTTCAATAGCATATATGGAAGGTACCATTAAAAAAGCGGGAAGATTTTATTTCGGAAATTTTGGAAAAAATTGATTTTTTTTATTCAAGTTGTTAGATTATATTCAAAATCTGGAACATTTCATTTCGGAAATTTTGAAAAAAATATATAGTTTTTGTTTTTTTTTCCTAATTTTTATCAACACATCCCACTGTGTGAAATGTAGAAGAAAGTTAAGCTTTCGGGAAGTACTTTATAAATATGAAGAAAATTTAAAAAGCTGGAAAATTAGCAGCACATGTTCCACATGTTTGCATAGCTGGTCAGGATAATATTCAGAAGCAGCTATTATAGTAGAGCTTATCAAAGACGTTTCTAATGTCATCAACAGAATCCTCCAGCGATTCTTCGTTCCTAAGATTTTGATCAAAGAAAAAGCTGTAGTCGAGGCTGAAGTAGATATTTCCGGACTGAAAGTATTTTCCTTCGTTGTTATCTAGTTCTCACAACACAAGCTGATTTTGAACGTCTTCCTCATAAAATTTGCAGACAATTTGCTGTCGAGGTTGAAGTCTTTACTTTGTAGTCTAATTCTTTGCACCACAAGTCAATTTTGAACCTTCTATTTTTTAGTCTGTAATATACCCCTCAAGAACTTTGCGATACCATAAACAGTATCCTCTTGGATTGCTCCTTTCTAATAGATCGGACAGATAAGTTTCCGTCGTGGTTAAAGTTCATATTTTCTGCTTCGAAATAATTTTCTACAGCGTGATATAATTTTCGAAACCTAAATTATTTTTGAAACGTTATATTCCGTGGGCGTTAACGACAGTTCAAGACCTTACCAATGCCATCAAGAGAATCTCCTTGAAACCCTCGTTTCTAAGATATCAGACAGGCAGACAGACGTGAATGTTAAAGTTGTATTTTCCCACATTGCTATACCTCAATTGCCACCCACAAAATCATTCATGGTTCCGCATTTCAACGATTTAAGACAGACAATTTACAGTCGGGGTTAAATTTGGTATTTCCTGCCTCCAAGGATTTTCCTCTATTGTGGTTTTATTCTCTCAGCAGAAGTCGCTTTCAAAACGCTATTGAAACTATGATCTTCAAGATCCTTTCAATACCATAAACAACATCCTCGTTGGATTTCTCGTAATGGAGATATCAGAAAGACAATTTCCCGTCGAAGTTGATATTTTCAGTTTTTAAGGGTCTTTCTTGATTTAAAGCTTTAACCCTTCCCCAACTGTAAAGAGTTTTTCAAACCCGTTCCAATGCCACCAAGAGCATCCTTTTCGAATTCCTCGTTATTTCAGAACTGGTCAGAGAAATTGTCGTTTATGTTGAAGTTTTGTATAACCAGTCTAAAAGGAGTTTTCTACATTCTCTTTTGGTTGTATTACGTTTTAAGAACTTTCCAATGCCATCAACAGTATCCTCCTGGGATTTCTCGTTTGAGTGTATTACGTTATGAGAACTTTCCAATGTCATCAACAGTATTCTGTTGGGATTCCTCGTTTCTATGACAATGGACAGGCAATTTATCTTCTGTTTGAAGTTGTTATTTCCTTCCTTCAGGTTGCCTAATTCTCGCAACAAAAGTATTTTTTAAAGCATATATGTGTATATGTTTGTTGATAAATAGACGTGTTTGCCATTTCATTGAAATATGGTAAAACATCCTTGATTGGGATTCTCGAAACTTCAACCTAAAGATGTGGACATATAAATACGAGTGAGTAAGAGTCCCGTCAATCAGTTTAAGTTCTAAAAAGATTTTTTCTAAATTGTCAACCAATGCTCTTTACGGTGTATAAGGTTTTCAATATATTTCCAATGACGACAATAGTGTCCTCCTGGGATTCCTTGTTTCTATGACTACGGACAGGCAATTTATCTTTATTTGAAGTTGGTATTTCCTATTTCTCGAAACTTCAATGCATAGGTGTGGACCTATAAATACGAGTGAGTAGGAGCCCCGTCAATCAGTTCAATATTAAATTGCGTCCTGTAAAATCTAATGAAAAAGTAAAGAAAAGCTGTGTGCTAAGAGAAATCAGCTTGATAATGGTTTAGTGTAACATCAATTCCAATATTTAGAAAAAATGAGGAAATAGGCTGAAACATCACAATATCTGACTTAGATCAGTAGCAATGCCTGACTTAGATCAGGAGCGAAAATAGACAAATCGGCCACTTTTTCTTGTCCCTCCCCCATAATAAAGTTCAATTTTATACTTTCTGAGATTCCTAAATTGATGCAATGTCTTCCATAGTTGGAAGCCCTACTAAGATCTTCTATAGAAAAAAGAGATATTTTTTTTTTTTTTGTAATTAGGCTTTATTTTTTTTTCTCGATTTTTCATATAATTATTTTTATTTCGTTTTTCTTGTTAATTTTTGTATTTTAAGGTTTTAATTATTCATTATAAACCAGTTTGTTCGATTTGTTTTACATCTTGCAATAATAATTTCTATAAATAATTTAATAATATTAAGTACAAATATTTTTTTGTTTTCTTCGTATTTTTGTTTATTATTTCTTTACTCTTTGTTTTATGATTTTCCAGTTTAAATTTAAATCTAAAATATTATTTTATTTTTTTTTAGTTTATTTTTTACTTTACTTTTAATGTGCTGCTTAAATTCTTTATTTGTTTTTGGGGGGTTTCCTAGGACTGCGTCTTCCTTGCAATTTTAACAAAATAATATTCACATGGTTTTTGTTTTTTTTCCTCAGCTAACTATAAGTTAATGTAGTTGTTGTGGTTTGTTGTTTTTTTGTTGCTTTTTTTTGGGATGAGATGTTTTTTTTTTCATCTAATTTAATAAATTATTTATATCGTTTTGCTTAGGTATAATTTTTTACAATTGTTATTTAACATTTTTTTTGAGGTTAGAAAGTCTCAGGATGGCGTCACACCAAGCTTCGTGATATTGCCAGGTCAAAAGTGCGCATATTTTGGTTATGGCATTGCCATAAGCAAATTATACCCTTTTTAATATGGCCATGACGAAGCGCGTTATGAAGCCTTCAAAAGATTCCTGGGCCTTGATGGTTTTTTTCGAATTTTTTTTTCAAAATCTGCACAATCAGATTTTATTGTTTTTAGTTAGTATTTTCTATAGATAATCCCCAATAGAATCAACTTATAAACAAAGAATTTAATATATTTTTTTATATATATATGTATATTATAATTAATAATATTATTAATGTTTATGGTTGAGAGTCAATTAAATAACAATATAAGACTTATTTTTTGTTTCTTTTTGTTTTTTTTTTCTTTTTTAATAAATAACTCTAATATACTAACTTTGTTAATTTATATTCTTTAACACTATTCCTATTTATATATTTATAAGTTTTCTTTTGTTTATTGTATATATAAAAAAATATTTACAAAACAAAATTTGCTTAGAAGCCAGAAAATGAAGCCATTGGAAAAATGAGAAAACCATACTTTTGTTGATTAGTTTTTTTAGGGTTTTGAGTCAAATTTTCTAGATCTTCGGTTAATTGTCTTGCAATAGTCTAGAAGACCTCTGAAAACATTAACCGAAGATTTTGAAATTTTTCTTGAGAGTTTTTTTTTTTTAGTTTAGCAACTAGATTTATTCACTGGGTTTATTTTTCTTGTATTTTTTTAATATATTTGTTTTTTTTTTATTTAGTGGTATGGAACTTTCTTTGGGTTGTTTGTTTTTTTTTTTGTAATAAGAAATACCCTAGCATTTTTCAAATAATTTTTATTTTCAATTTTGACTAGACAAAGAACTTAAAAACGCACACTTTTTTCATTTTCCCCCATAATATTCCAGGACATGTTGGGATTGCAAAACTATGGGTTTATAAGATTTCCAAGATATTACGATGGAGGAGAAATAATTCAATTGCATTTTCGAGGAGAGAAAATAACCTTATCGATGTGTTAGTTTCTAAGATATCGGACATACAAATTACTGCCGAGGTTGAAGTTGGTATTGGAGTTCACAGGAGGAGATACCTCTTGTGAACTCCAAGTTCCATTCCATTCCGTTAAAATATATGACTAAATTCATCAAAATAATGAGTATCGAGAGGTACCTTTAGAAGGTCACAAACTCAAAATACTAAAATTTGAAACGATTCCTTTATAAAAGTGACGCAAATCCTAGAAATAACGAATATTTGGAGGCGGTGCGAAAACGTAGAAAAGAAGAACTTTTTACCAGCGAAGATAGTACCGAATACCAACTTTACAAAAATTCCGTCGAGCAATGTGGCTGAAATCACCAAAATTTGTACCGAATATTGGGAAGTATCGTTAGGTGGATGAAGACGTGTACCTGCATAAGTAATTTTCTATCTTAGGATGTAGTTTCCATTAACAACTCCAAATGAAAATTTTGCCATAATTATGGTGAACAATGGTACAAAAATAATCAAAATACCGAACATTCGGAGGTACACTTATGTGAGGACTATACTAAAACTTTGACCTTTGTGGACAGTTCCTTGCAAGGATTAATTCTACTATGATCTGTAATATGATTCAAATGCTCAAAATCCCATAAATGTGGCGGTACCGTTATTTAGGGGCTATAACAAATTGTGGACCTATATGGAGCCTCCAATGTTATGGTGGAGGTTATAAACATTTCTTTTAAACATTGTCCTAACCCGAATGGGACATATTATCCCATTCCCTGAGAGTTACAGTTATAAAAAATATTGACCCCTTCTGGGGAGGATACCGGCTGGAGTGTGCCGATAAGTTCCACATTCGCTCGAAGTTAAAAGATATATGGGCGTATTATTATTTAGCATTTTATGAAAGTTATAATTGTTCAATATATTAATCCTGCTTGGGGAGGTACCAGAAGAAATGGACCGATATACCCTATATTGACATTAAGTCTATGGAGGATACAAATATTGAAAAGTCGGATGATGCTTTCCTATTCCATGAGATTTTCCGTGAGCACCAGCCAGACGGAAACCGCTAGGTCGTCTACAAATTTTCTGAAATAGATTTCGTCTAAAGAGACCTGTTCCAAAAACCGTCACTTCGATTAGGCACGTATCGGATGATATATACCCTGTGTAACCAAATGGCTGAAGCTATAATTATAAATGAAATTGGTCCTTGGCGATTTTGTCCATGAAGAAGTAGTTTGGAGTTTATGTGTCAGTGATTTCTATTATACCCCTAGCCATATGGCTTGGTCTCTTTGGACTAAATCCGCTTCAAGACATTTGGAGTCGATCTAGTGATGTCCGTGTGGCTGCTGCGCACAGTAATTCTCGAAGGGATTTTCCGATTTGGTCCAAACTTGGTACATCGTAATATTTTCAGAAAGAGAAAGGATAATCCGATTTTGCTCCAACTTTGCTAATCCTAATATTTGCATCAGTGCTAGGTCAGGTGAGAAAATAGACAATATCGGTCCACTCCACCAACTACCTGCCCCGCAAACCATCAATATTTTAAATAAACATAACTGTTATAAAATGTCATGTGAGAGTCCGATTGCCTTCAAATTACACACATCACAATATTTATATTAACTCAAGGTCTGGTGTGAAGATGGAATATGTTGGTCCACTTCATTTGGTATCTCACCCACAAAGGATCAAAATTTTGAATAACAAAAACGATTTTAAAATCCGAAATAAGCATCAGGTTTTTTTCATATTTCACATAGGCAATTATTTTGACTAACACAAGATCTGCTATGAAAATAGGATATATCGATTCATTCCTTCTGGCACCTCTACCACAAAGGGTCAAAATGTTGTATACCCATGGAGCTCATAAAACGCAAAATTAACATCCGATTCCATTCGGACTTGGAACATCTCAATATTTCTATCAAGAAAAGATCTGTTATAAAGACGATAGAGATCGGACCGTTTCTTCTGGTACCTACCCCACAAGGGGTCAACGTTTTGATTAACCAAAACGATCTTAAAAAATGAAATAAGCAGCTGGTTATCTTCATTTTTCAAACATCCTATTATTTATATTAACACAAGGTCTTCTGTGAAGATGGCATATATCAATCCACTCCATCTGGTATCTCCGCCACAAAGGGTCAAAATTTTTAATACCTACGAAGCTCATAAAAGGGAAATTAACATCCGATTCCATTTAGACATGGCACATCTCAATATTTCTATCAACACAAGATCTGTTACAAAGATGGTAGAGATGGGACTATTCCTTCTGGTACCGTCTCCAGTGTCAAAATTTTGAATAAACAAAACGAGCATAAAATCCGAAATAAGCGTCCGGTTCTCTTCAAACTTCACACGTCTCATTATTTCCAACAACACAAAATCTGGTATGAAGATGCGATAAATAGATCTATTCCTTCTGGTACCTCCCCAACAGAGGGATTAAATTTTAAATAACAAAACGACCTAAGAATACGAAATAAGCTTCCGATTTTTTTCAAACTTCACTCATCTCAATATTTCTATTAACATAAGATTTGGTGTGAATGTGGACCACTCCTTTTGGTACCTCCCCCACAACGGGTCAACATTTTGAATAATTATAGATCTCATAAAATATGAAATAAGCATCCGACTCTATTAAAATTCCATGCATTCCAATATTTCTACTAACACAAGATATGGCGTGAAGATGATAGATATTGGCCTATCCCTTGTGGGGTAGGCTTAAATTTCTCATAACTTACGAAATGACCAAAAATCCACACAGTGTTATTTTGGGTTATTTACATACATATACTTATTTTGAACTCTTGGCAAATTTTTCGAGCAGGTTTGGATATTATTCAGGTGAAGGAAATATGAAGTTCGTCCTGGCTGAGGTTTGCGTCGTATTAACAGGTTTTTTTTCTTGGGAAGGCCATTGAAAGTGAAGTATGTGTTGTGAAGACACAATGAGGCTCGTCTATCCCATTGGTGGTATTCCAACTGCACACCTCTTCCCCATATCTTTATCAACCGAAGGCGCATAAAAATGCAAGTTCTAGCGCAATACACTAGAATTCAGGGAAAACTTTGAACTTGTTTTTTTCCAAATTTATATTTTTCCCTCGCATTATTTTAAGATAAATACATATATCCCTTTTGCTCCAAACGAATTATTTCTCCTCCTCCACAAACATTGTGGAAACCTTTTATCGAACATGCACTACGACAAAATAAATTAAAATTCACAAATAAAATTCTACATAAAGCCTGCTCGATTGTTTTTTTTTTTTCTACATTTAAATATTTCATATTTGCAAATGTTTGGGTATTTGGAGTATTTTCCAATACATACAAATGTATGACTGCGTGTATGTGTGAGAGAGTTTTTCATGGATACTTGAAAAGTTCCCGATGTATAATGAAATTTGGAGACAGTAGTAAAAGATTACTGGTCGCATGTACTCATTCTGCTATCACGTTGTTGTGCCTCCAATCTCCTCCGATTAGAGGAATGGTTTTAGAGGTGTTTGATCTCTAAGGATGCGTGTGTGGGTGTATGGGTGAATATGGATGTTGAATAGATTTATGTGTCCCTGCCGTTAAATCTATGTGGAAAAAAGGTTCCTTTGCAGATCATGAGAAGGATGATGTTATAATTCATTGTGGATGTTGTTGTTACTGCTCTTCTGATTACAGAGTTCCATAATGCTCATTGAGGTGGTGAGGTCACAGAATCCAGAGAGTACAAACAACTACTACGTATACTAATCCATGCCATGCGGCGTTGGACTCTGACCGCCGCCCATCATGAAGGAGGTGGGACTGTGCACGGATATGCTGTCCAGATCCAGGGTGCCATCGCCCTTTTCCAGCATGCCGGAGCCATCTTGTTTCATCATCATGCGACGCCATTTGGCACGGGCATTTTGGAACCACACCTAAAATGATAACAACAACATTAACAAATGTCAAAAAGAGAAATCCTCCTCCCCTTACCTGTAATACTCTCTTTGGTAAACCTGTCTTCTGTGACAACTGCTTCAGATCCTTGGCATCGGGATTGTGATTTATGGCAAAGTACGATTTCATGGTCCTCAGCTGATGGTGTTTGAAGGACGTTCGCATCCGTTTTGTACGCGACGAGGCACTCATGTGCGAACCGCGTCCAAAGTCCAAATACTCAGTGTTTAAATCTGTTTGGAGAAAATGGGCTTTGGTTAGGACAAACGTTTCGTCTGTGAAGAGAGAGAACAGTACTTGCATTGCATACCTATGTTGGCAGTGAGGGCTTCAATATCTTTGGGCTTACGTTTGCGGGGCCGGCCCTTTTGCCGGGGCGGCTGTGGAAGACCGGTCATGACGTGAGAGGCGGAGGCAAATATACTGCTAGGAACAATGCGTGTCGGATCCGAGTGGGGACTCGACGAATCATTCGGTGGCGAACCAAATTGACTTGTGTACGGATAGCTGCTGGCACCGCCCACACCGGGCACCACGGCCGGACCGAGGCTGGTCGAGGCGGTGTCACCTTCGCGGGCCATGGTGTAGTGGGTTCTGCAAGGGCAAGGGGAGAGAAAGAGTAAAAAAATGCCCCTAAAATTACTGTTGGGTGTGAGACATACCTACAATAGATGAGAGCATCTATTATCCCATACTGATCACCTTTTGTTAGGGGACTCTGGCAGACCACACAACAAAAACAGGTCACATGAAATACTAAATTTCGCGCTCGCATTACCAGCTCGGAGGCTCCAATTGATGCCAGGCAGCGGGAACAGCGTCGTGTACCAAAAACACTGCAAAGAGAGAGAGAGAGAGAAGGGGGAGAGATTTGGTTATTAAAGCGATCTGGAAAGAATTAATATAATTCTTTAAGGAAGAATTATCCGCAAAACGTGGATAACATTTTTATAATTTAGATAACATTAGTATGTTATCCGCATAATTTGCATAGCATTTTTATACCCTCTACCATAGTAACATAACAATGTCCGTCCGTCTGTGGAAATCACTCTAGCTTCCGAAAGAAATGAAGTAAGCTGATAAAAATTTACTCCAATGTGCATTATGTCTGCAGGACTTTTGGTATCGAAAATGGGCCATGTAGGTTCACAGCTTCGTATAGCCCTCATATAACGGTACCTCCCGATATTCGGTATATTGATGATTTTAGTGACATTATTTACCGGAATTTTTTCAAAATTGGTATTTGAAGTTTGTAACGGATACTACAGCCTAAAACAGAAAATGGGCCATGTAGGTCCACGTCTTCGTATAGCCCCCACATAACGGTACCCCCAATATTCGGCATTTTGATGATTTTAGCGACATTATTTACCGGAATTATTTCAAATTTTGTATTTGAAGTTCGTAATGGATACTACAGCCTATGCCAGAAAATTTTCCCTCAGCCATATGGGTAGAGAGGGTATATATCTTTGACACAGCCAAAACGTGTATCATCGAAATAACTGTTTTCTTTGGATCAAAACCGTTTCAGGACATTTAGCGATGTACGTCCGTCCGTTCGTCTGTCTGGCTGGTGGGCACGATAACTCTGGTAGGGAGTATCCGATTTGATCAAAACTTGGTACATCGTAATAATATTATCAAACATAGATCGAGTTCGGAGATGGACAACATAGGTCTGCTCCTTCTTGTACCTCCCCCAGAAAAGGTCGCCATTTTCAAAAAATTGATTTTACTGCACAGAAAGAGATTATCCTTTCCGATTTTGCTGCAACTTTGCAAATCCTAATATTTGCGCCAGTGCTAGGTCAGGTGCGAATATAGATAATATCGGTCCACTTCATCAAGTACTGCCCCGACAAGGTGTCAAATTTTGAATAATTATAACTCTTATAAAATGTCATGTAACAGTTCGATTGTCTTCACATTGCAATGTTTTTGTAAACTGGAAGATGGAATATATCGGTCCACTGCTCCTTGTACCTCCTCCACAAAGGTTTACAACTGTCCATGAAGCTCATAAAACGCGAAATTAACATTCGATTCCATTCAGACTTGGTAAATCTAAATTTTTCCCACAACACAAGATCTTTTATAAAGATGGTAGCGATCGAACCACTTCTTCTGATACCTCCCCCACATAGGGCCAATGTTCTGAATAACCAAAACGAACATAAAATCCGAAAAAAAGCTTCCGATTCTCTTCATATTACACACATTGCATTATTTCTACTAAAATACGATCAGCTGTGAAGATGGGATATATCGGTCCACTCCTTCTGATACCTCCCCCACAAAAGAGAAAACATTATAAAATGAGAAATTAACATTCGAATCTCAATATTTCTATCAACACAAGATCTTTCACAAATATGGTAGAGATCGAGCCACCTTTCTGGCACATCCCCCACAAGGGTACAAGGTCTTGAATATCCGAAAGATCATAAAATCTGAAAATAACATCCTGTTCTCTTAATATTTAACAAATCCTATTTTCTAACACAAGACTTGCTGTGAAGATGGGATATATCGGTTCACTCCTTCTGGTACCTCCCCCACATTTCTTAATTAAATTTAAAAAATGTTTTATCTTTTCGAAAAATGGAACCCATTGTGACAATCAACCCTGCATTTGCAAACGTCATCATCATTCATTTCCATGATAGATAGGCCGTTGTTTGTATTGCAGTTTATATTGCACTTGCTTTGGCTGCTGCTGGTGCTGTTTATGGCTCCTGGTTTGGTTGGCTGTTGCCTTAGAATATCATCGTCATGCCACACAGCTGGTTGAGGCACGAAAACACAAGCAACCTTCCCTCCCCATTCAGACTCAAACAAAAACATCGAATCGGATTCAAATTCAAATAGACCCAAACGACATAACCCACTTGTATCGGCACGTAGTTTCAACAAATCAAGGTGCACGTACAGACGGACATACGTGAACTACTGTGGAGAGAGGCACAAACCGAACTTTCAAGAGTTGGAGTTGCAAAAAATAAAAAAAACAAATCTTAAATTGAAATGGATCTTGCAATGGATGGAGCATATAAATATCTAGTAGTAATGGGGAGAACCTACACATGTACATATGTATATATCCCACAACTCCCCTCCTTGCAACATGCACACATTGGGAGGTGACATAAATTGTTGTCGTCCAGTGTAGGCATACACATGCAACACGAACCAGAACAACAGCAACATTTCAAAACACTTTTTTGTGGGCCACCAATTCGCAAAAAAGCCAACCCCACATCAGAAATATTCGTTTTACTACCGGCAACGACAGCAGCTACGATGCCAAATCATATGAGGTGCAACTAAACCTGAACAGATAATATCTGCAGCGTTTTTTTTTTTGTCTCTTCTTCTTATCATTTATTTGTAATCTGTGGAGCTGGCAATCTATGGCCCATAGACTTGGCCATTCATCATCCGTGACATTGGCAGCGTGAAAAACTGAAACTGCTGCCGCTAATAAAACGCACTGCAAATAATACTCGTTCACAACACATACACATGCAACCACACTCTCAGGAGGGTCATTCCGTGCAAGAAGGTGTTAATTTGAGAGGGGTGGCCATGGCTAAGATGACTGCGGGACATCTATATTTCACCTGTTTCAGGGACTGCGAAAATGAAATATGTCATCGGTGAAGGATGCTATGAAATTCAAAACGAGGCAAAATTAAATTTCGAATAAAATTGGATAGAATAACTTAGACAATCATTTAAAAACTGCGAGAAAATGTTGTCTTTTTGTTCTCTAAGCGATTAGAAGAAGCGTACCGCTATATCTGGTCTTCATTTCAGATCAAGTGTTGGAACATTCAGGTTTTCTATAGATCTCAAGGTCTTCTACAGACAGAAGAAGATCTCCAGATATTCTAGAGACAGTAGAAGCCCTCTAAGTCTTCTAGAGGCATTAGAAGTCCTTCAGTTCCTTTAGAGACATTAGAAGACCTTCAGGTTCTCTAAAGACCTCCAGGTCTTCTAGAGACAGTAGAATACCTCTAAGTCTTCTAGAGCCGTTATAAGACCTTCAGGTCCTCTAGAGGCATTATAAGACCTTCAGGTCCTCTAGAGGCATTATAAGACCTTCAAGTCCTCTAGAGGCATTAGAAGTCCTTCAGGTCTTCTAGAGACAGTAGAATACCTATAAGTCTTCTAAAGGCATTATAAGACCTTCAGGTCCTCTAGAGGCATTTTAAAACCTCAAGTCCTCTAGAGGCATTAGAAGACCTTCAGGTCCTCTAGAGACATTAGAAGTCCTCTAGGTCCTCTAGAGACATTAGAAGACCTCCACACCTTCTAGAGATAGTAGAAGATCTCCAGATCAGTGAAATATCTATAGGTCTTCTTGAGACACTAGGGACAGTAGAATACCTCCAGGTCTTGTAGAGGCAAAAGAAGCCCCCCAGGTCTTTTAGAGACAGTGAAATACCGACAGATCTTAAAGAGACAGTAAAATGCCGGCAGATCTTCTACAGACACTAGAAAATATCTAAGTCTTCTAGAGGCAGAAGAAGACCTCCAGGTCTTCTAGATCCAGTAGAAGATCTCTATATCGTCAAAAGGCAGAGAATGTCCTTCTAGAGGCAGTAGAAGATGATCAGGTCAGCAAAATACCTAAAGGTCTTCTAGAGACAGTAGACGACCTCTAGGTCTTCTGCAGACAGTAGAATTCCTTATAGGTCCTCTAGAGGCAGTAGAAAACCTCCAGGTCTTCTAGAGATAGTGGAAGACCTCCTGGTCTTCAAGAGAAGGGTTAAGCCCCGTCTCTTCTAGAAACAGTGAAATACCTTCAGGTATTCTAGAGAAAGTGAAACAGTAGACGACCTCTAGGTCTTCTAGTGTCAGTAGAAGACCTCCAGGTCTTCTAGAGACAGTGGACGACCTCTAGGTCTTCTCGGGACAGTGGAAGACCTCTAGTTCTTCTAAGGGCAGTAGAAGACATTTAAGTCTCCTAAAGTCAGAGGCTTCTAGGTCCTCAAGAGATAGTGAAATACCTACAGATCTTTTAGAGAATAATATACAATCTCGGTAACCATAGGGCAGAGGATTTAGAAAGAGGACCAAATTAATTTTTGAAATGGTACACCACCACATGCTATTTATTTGAAGGTCTTATTCCTTCCTCCCATAACATTGTGCAGTTCCAACATTGTATGCAACATCATTGAATTTTTGATTTCCATAATTTCCAACTGAACTTTAATCACACACCCCACTGACAATTTAAAGCAAAACATACAAAACGAACAACAGTAGCACATTCAGGCCAATAATTTTTATTCCGAAGGGAAACCCCTTTTTTCAACTGTAGACTGGAAAGGAAATATTAATAAAATTGCAAAGAGCTAAGATATAATTTCCGATTCAAAACATGTAATTTTTTACGATGACGATTGAGAATTTCAAAAAATGCCAAAAGTGGACGTGTAGTGATTTACTTTGGAAAAAAGGCAGAGGGCAAAGGCATCACCCTCAATTTGATTTAAACAACATAACATGAATATCGACATCCTGCCAAGAGATCAATAGAGCTTTCCCCAACCTCCTCCCTCTGTGTCTCTTCAGTTGTATTGTGAGGCCATCCATAATTACCTTTAAATATATATTTCAGAATAAAAGAAGATGACGAAGATTGGTAATGATGGTGATTGGAAACTTGTGTCTACACAGCCATTGCCACTGCCTACGCATGTGCAGCGGCAACAACTTAGATTGTGGGCCAACATGAACGAACGGTAGCCGCTCCAAAAATAATAAAATAAACACAACCTGTAGCCACCGCCTAACGAATGAATTTCAATAACCGTTG